TTAGCAGATCGTCCCCCAGACACTCTCGTTAAAAACATAAAAGACCTCTATAGACGTCTTTGGCAGCTAATGAGTTAACAGGCAGAGACCTCGAGCAGAACCATGGCGTGATTATCTTTTGAGGTTGGACTCTGCAAATCTGTCTCTGACCTCCTGCAGACAGGCCAAAGCCACCGGTCGGTTGTGTTCCTCTTTCTGGTAGAAGGAGCAGGTTTTTAGGTGGTTTGACATGGAGGAAATGTCCCCGATTCTCCATCTTTCCACGGGAGAAAACAGGGAACTGAAACTCCACACCTGGAGAAAAGGACAGGAAACACTAAATGTATTTTTAATATCCGTGAAATCTAGATCACAGAGCACTTTTATCACTTTTGTTTCTGCCCTATCTAACCTATTGTGTTGAAGTGTGGGGTCACACTTACATAACAAACATGCAACCATTGATTATTAGCGTTACTGCATTATGCATTATGTCTGCATTATGTCTTCAACAAGTCGCTGATAGCCAAATAGATGTCATCTGGCCAACAACAAAGTATAAACTACTTGTCAAACTTTTACCCATCTCCCAATGCAACCTGGTCATTCTATTCTTGAACATTTTGTTACCTAATACCATGTTTGTTATTTTATACTGAGTACTGTCATTGTTCAGACACCCTCCTGAATGTTTTCTTGGCTATTGCTGTTGATAACCTCGCAAATTTTGAGGAAAATGTTTTTATCTGGCTCTGATTGGGTGAAGGATGCAAAAGAAAGCAATACGAGTAACGAGTAACAAACATTATAGAGATCACACTCACTGTTTATTCCTAGATTCAAGAATTCTTAAATTTGTAGATCTGATCGATTTCAGTACTGCTCAAATTCTTTATGAAGCAAGAAATAAATTACTTCCTGCGCACATACAAGTGTTTTCTGATAGAGATGGAAAATATAATCTAAGAGTAAAATAAAATTTCAAAACTAAGTATGTTCGAACAACAAAAAGAAGCTTTAGTTTATCAATTATCAATTAAACAATGTAAAAGCATCCAGCAATTCAAAAAAGAATATTAGAAAAGTATTTTTGATGAATACAAAAAATAATAATATATAAAAAGTTGGTATACTGTTTGTCTCACTGTAAATAATTGTCCTTTACCACCATGATACATGTAACTTAATAAGCTTATGCTTCATCCTACTGCTTTTTTAAACATGTATATGAAGCATTCAATGTAAACTTTGTTAAATCATATCATGTTTCAAAATAATGGAAATGAAATGAAATCACATGGCAGGGCATTATTCCTGTTCCATCTGTTATAAAAGGAGATAAATTATGCGGTTCATTAAAGAGCAAATGCCCAGCTGTTGCCTCAAAGTCAGACACACACAGTTTCCATGAATGATCACATGTCTTTCTTTTTTTATGGAGCAGAGAGTTTAATGGCAGAGAAGCTCAGGCCATTCCACATCACTGACATCACTCTCAATATAAAAATACACACAGAGGTGCGTTTATAATGTGTTTTTCAGGCATCAGCTCACTGTTTTTCAGCCGTTTATGTAACAGCAGGACACCGAAAAGAAGAAAAACGGGTCATTTTCATCGTTTCTTTGTTTTTTCTGTGTGCCCTGAGGACCTTTAACCCTGTAATGCCAAATGTGTCATAATTGATTCATACGGTTTCTGAAATGTTTTGCGTCTGACACCTTTTGCATAATTTAATGGTAAAAACTTTGCTCAAAATCCAATTTTCTTTATTGTTTTTTTAATTTTATTTTTATTTATTTATTTATTTATTTATTTATTTATTTATTTATTTATAAATGTATTTTTATTTTATTTATTTTTATTTACGTTTTTTATTATTATTATTTTTCTATTGTACACAATCAGATACACCTGATAACGGGGGGCAGAAGAATACACAAAAAATAATCTTGACTTATCACAAAGTAATAAATTATTAATATTAAAAATCTATTTCTGTTGTTTTTTTTTAGATATTTTGTTAAAAGGCCAAATAAGGAATTCAAAAAAAAAAAAAGTAATTTTCTGTTTTGTTTTATTCTTTGATCAGGCTTTAAAGGGTTAATGAATGGCTTACAAATACATATATCGTGTTAGCACTTTAACTAAGAAGTGTTCATTGAAACACTGTCTGTGTTTTTTGGTCCAACTGCTCCTGCCACGGAAATTTATGATGATTAATAACAAGCGCTAACCCGCAGAGCCTCGAGAAATGCTGCAAACTTGGATGCATCTCAAAATGCTGACTTTTAATCACCATAACTCAGTCTTAATTTCTGGAAATGTCACTCTTAAGCACAGCTCAGCTAAAGAGCTGTTTGGACCAGAAGACCTCAGCAAAAAGTGGCTTTATGGTCTCAGCCACAGCCTCATGGTCAAACAGAAAACAACCCCTCTGCACATTTAAGAGAAAGACAAAAGTCAGAAATAACTATTTCTGATTAATGTTGGTGCAAAATTCAGCCATGGATCCTAATTTAACCCTTTAAAGCCTGGTCCAAGAACAAAACAAAAACAATAAAATAAAACAGAAAATTACCTTTTTTTTGTTTGAATTCCTTATTTGGCCTTTTAACAAAATATGTAAAAAGAAAAAACAGAAATACATGTTTAATATTAATCATTTTTGTTTGAATTCCTTATTTGGCCTTTTAACAAAATATGTAAAAAGAAAAAACAGAAATACATGTTTAATATTAATCATTTATTACTTTGCGATAAGTCAAGATTATTGTTTGTGTAGTCTTCTGCCCCCTGTTATCAGGTGTATCTGATTGTGTACAATAGAAAAATGATAATAATTAAAAAAAATAAAAATAAAAATAAAATAAATAAATAAATAAATAAATAAATAAATAAATAAATAAAT